GTTCATGACAAACACACACACACATCACAATAGGACATGTCATTGTGGTGGCCCTTTATGCTGAGCACTGTACCAGCTGCTATTTGCCTACTCATTTCTCATCACTGCAACATCTCCATAAGGTTTTTTTTAAAAAATATTTTTATTGTGGTGAAAATACACACAACAAAACTTACAGCAATGCAACAGTTTCTGCGTGTATGGTTCAGTGACACTAATTACGTTCTTCAAGTTGTAGAAACATTCACACTACCGTTTTCCAAATTATCCCACCACCAGGAACATAGCCCACGCATCTGTCAGTTTGACATACTGTGGGGGATTGTGTGTTGCTATGACCCTGGAAGCCATGTCACCAGCATTCAAATGTGAGCAGGGTCACCCAGCTGAGCTTCCAGACTAAGACAGACTAGAAAGAAGGACCCAGTGATCTACTTCTGAAAAGAATTAGCCAGTGAAAACCTTACGAATAGCAGCAGAACATTGTCAGATATAGTGCTGGAAGGTGAGACCCTCAGGTTGGAAGGTGCTCAAAATATGACTAGGAAAGAGCTGCCTCGTCAAAGTAGAGTCAACCTTAATGATGTGGGTGGAGTCAAGCTTTTGGGACCTTCATTTGCTGATGTGGCATGACTCTAAATGAGAACAGCTACAAACATCCATTAATAATCGGAATTTGGAATGTAAGAAGTATGAATCTAGGAAAATTGGAAATTGTCAAAAATGAAATAGAATGCATAAACATCGATATCCTAGGCATTAGTGAGCTGAAATGGATTGGTATTGGTCATTTTGAATCAGACAAACATATGGTGTACTATGCCGAGAATGACAACTTGAAGAGGAATGGTGTTTTATTCATCGTCAAAAAGAGCATTTCAAAATGTATCCTGAAGTACAACGCTGTCAGTGACGGGATAATATCCATAAGCCTAGATGGAAGATCAGTTAATATGACTGTTATTCAAATTTACACACCAACCACTAAGGCCAAAAATGAAGACACTGAAGATTTTTACCAACTTCTGCAGTCTGAAATTGAGCAAACATGCAATCAGGATGCACTGATAATTACTAGTGATTGGAATGCGAAATCTGGAAACAAAGAAGAAGGAACAGTAGTTGGAAAATACAGCCTGGGTGATAGAAATGATACCAGAGATCGGGTGATAGAATTTTGCAAGACCAATGACTTCTTCATTGCAAATACCTTTCTTCACCAACATAAACGGAGACTATACACATGGACCTCACCAGATGGAATATACAGGAATCAAATCGGCTACATCTGTGGAAAGAGAAGATGGAAAAGTTCAATATCATCAGTCAGAACAAGGCCAGGGGCCGATTGCGGATCAGACCATCAATTGCTCATATACAAGTTCAAGTTGAAGCTGAAGAAAATTAGAAGTCCATGAGAGCCAAAGTACCGCCTTGAGTATATCCTACCTCAATTTAGAGACCATTTCAAGAACAGATTTGACCCATTAAACACTAATGACGAAAGACCAGGTGAGTTGTGGAATGACATCAAGGACATCATACACTAAAAAAGCAAGAGGTCATTAGAAAGACAGGAGAGAAAGAAAAGACCTAAATGTATGTCTGGAGAGACTCTGAAACTTGCTCTTGAAGGTCGAGTAGCTAAAGCAAAAGGAAAAAATGATGAAGTAAAAGAACTGAACAGAAGATTTCAAATGGTGGCTCGAGAAGACAAAGTAAAGTATTATGGTGACATGTGCAAAGAGCTGGAGATAGAAAACCAAAAGGGAAGAACACACTGGGCATTCCTCAAGCTGAAAGAACTCTAGAAAAAATTCAAGCCTCAAGTTGCAATGCTGAAGGATTCTACGGGGAAAATATTAAACGATGCAAGAAGCATCAAAAGAAGATGGAAGGAATGCGCAGACTCACTATACCAAAAAGAATTGGTAGACCTTCAACCATTTCAGGAGGTAAAATATGATGAGGAACCAATGGTACTGAAGGAAGAAGTCCAAGCTGTACTGAAGGCATTGGCAAAAAACAAGGTTCCTGGAATTGATGGAATACCAACTAAGATGTTTCAACAAAAGGATGTAGCGCTGAAAGTGCTCACTCGTCTATGCCAAGAAATTTGGAAGACAGCTACCGACTGGAAGAGATCCATATTTATGCCTATTCCCAAGAAAGGTGATCCATTCGAATGCTGAAATTATTGAACAATATCATTAATATCACATAGAAGAATAATTTTGCTGAAGATCATTCAAAAGCAGCTGCAGTAGTATGTTGACAAGGAATAGCCACAAATTCAAGCTGGATTTAGGAGAGGACATGGAACCAAGGATATCATTGTTGATGTCAGATGGATCCTGGCTGAAAGCAGAGAGTACCGGAGATATTTTCCTGTGTTTTTTTGGCTATGCAAATGCATCCGACTGTGTGGATCATAACAAATTATGGATAACATTGTGGAGAATGGGAATTCCGAAACACTTGATTTTGCTCATGAGGAATCTGAACATGGATCAAGAGGCAGTTGTTCAAACAAAACAAGGGGATACTGTATGGTTTAAAGTCAGGAAAGGTGTGCGTCAGGGTTGTATTCTTTCACCATACCTATTCAATCTGTACGCTGAGCAAATAAATCCGAGAAGATGGACTATATGAAGAAGAATGGGGCATCAGGATTAGAGGAAGACTCATTAACAACCTGCCATATGCAGATGACACAACCTTGCTTGCTGAAAGTGAAGAGGACTTGAAGCACTTACTGATGAACATCAAAGACCACAGCCTTCAGTATGGATTAAACCTCAACATAACAAAAACAAAAATCCTCACAACTGGACCAATGAGCAGCATCATGATAAACAGAGAAAAGATTGAGGTTGTCAAGGATTTCTTTTTCCTTGGATCCACAATCAACACTCATGGAAGCAGCAGTCAAGAAATCAAGACAGATTGCATTGGACAAATCTGCTGCAAAAGACCTCTTTAAAGGGTTGAAAAGCAAAGATATCTCCTTGAGGACTAAGGTGCACCTGACACAAGCCATGGTGTTTTCAATTGTCTCATATTCATGCGAAAGCTGGACAATGAATAAGGAAGACTGAAGAAGAAATGGAAGCATTTGAATTGTGATGTTGGCGAAGGATATTGAATATACCATAAACTGCTAAAAGAAAGAACAAATGTGTCTTGGAAGAAGTATAACCAGCATGCTCCTTAGAAGCAAAGATGGTGAGACTAAGTCTCACATACTTTGGACATGTTATCAGGAGGGATCAGTCCCTGGAAAAGGACATCATGCTTGATAAAGTGGAGGGTCAGTGAAAAAGAGAAAGACCCTCAATGAGATGGATTGACACAGTGACAGCAACAATAGGCTAAAACATAGCAGCAATTGTGAGGGTGTTGCGGGACCAGGAAGTGTTTTGTTCTGTTGTGGATGGGGTTGCTATGAGTTGGAACTGACTCAACGGCACCTAACAACAGCAACAGGAAAATACACTCAACACCGCCTAAGCAAAAACTCCCTTTCCCCCGTCCCTCCCACCTCTGGTAACTACTAATAAGCTTTGCTTTATTTATATTTGCCTATTTTATGTAAGTGACATTATACAGTGACTTTTGTAACTGACTTATTTCACTTTGCATAATGTTTTCTAGATTCATTCAAAAGGAGCCCTGGTGTCATAGTGGCAAAGCAGTTGGCTGCTAACCCAAAGGTCAGTGTTTTGAATCCACCAGCCTGTGTGAAAGATGTGGCAGTCTGCTTCTGTAAAGATTACAGCCTTGGAAATCCTATGAGGTAATTCTACTCTGTGTTATGGTATCGCTATGAGTCCGAATAGTCTTGACGGCAGTGGGTTTATTAATGGATAACAACTTTGAGCAACTTTTTATGTGCTTGTTGGCCATTTGAATATCCTCTTTGATAAAACTAGCTTTTCTTAGAAAAACTGATATGTCATCTATTATATCAGGGGAAGAACTTTTTAACTCTTCATATAATTGGGAGAACAGAGAATCTCATCAACATAGTTATGTAGCTTCTCTTAGAATCAATCACTATGCACATGACTCATGTTTCCATGAGGAAGTCTTTTGAGCTTCAAGTTTATAGATAACATTTTCTAATCTTCACCTCAGATCCAGAGTGTGGACCTGGTTGGATGTCATCCCCTGCTACATACTAACTTTGTAGGCAGAGGTGGAAATACCCAGAAGACAAAGACTTTATTCAGAAGAAGATATTAAAAAAAATTAAGGTAAATTATGAAATATGAGTGACTGTTAGTAGATGCTAATTTTGTACTATCCAGAGGCTTAACAGAGAGAGGTCAAGAGAATCAACTCAGCAGTCAGGTAATCTGAGCTCAGACACATCGGTGCTACTCACTCACTTTGTACTTTGTGTCTATGACACAACACCGCCTTTCCTAAGTGTGCTGTCAGGTAATAGGAGTGACAGAATGAACTACCTCATCATAAACAAGCCCTTTATGTCATTGTGAAGCATTCCAAATTTTGATAACCATTTATCTAAAAACAGATTTCATAATTTTATTCCATTTGAAGGCTGGAATAATTCTGAAGGGAAAAGGCCATGTCTTACTCTTTACTTCACCCCCATGCCTTGGTACAATGTGTGAAATAGAGCGGATGCTCTATTAATATTTGAACCTTTAAAAGGATTGGAGGAAAGAGACGATGACAGAAAAGAGGGATGGAAGGAGAAAGTAAGTGGAGAGAAAGATTTGAATATATACTTATGTTCATAATGTAGACAAGAGCATTTTTTCTGAAGCAGTGGTTTTCAAACTTTAACATTGATCAGGATCACATGGAAGTCTGGTTAAAACATAAACTGCTGTTCGTCATCCCAGAGTTTATCTTCAGTAAGTCTGGAGTGCACCCCAAGAACTTACATTTCTAAAAAGATCCCAGGTGATGCTCTCGCTGGGAGTCCAGGATCCACACATTTGATTATCTTTCACCTCATCTTTTCCATCAGATTCACCAACAGTATGGAAACCAGAAACCAAACTGGTGTGTCAGAATTCCTTCTTCTGGGACTTACAGAGGATCCAGATCTGCAGCCCCTCTTATTTAGCCTGTTTCTGTCCATGTACGTGGTCATCATCCTGGGAAACCTACTCATCATCTTGGCTGTCAGCTCTGACTCCCACCTCCATACTCCCATGTACTTCTTTCTTTCCAATCTCTCCTTCAATATCTCTTTCAGCACAACCACGATCCCAAAGATGCTGATAAACATCCAAGCACAGAATCAGAGCATCACTTACACAGGCTGTCTCTCCCAGGCCTGCTTTGTAATGGTTTTTGCTGGTTTGGAAAATTGTCTCCTTGCAGTAATGGCCTATGACCGTTACGTGGCCATCTTCCATCCACTGAGGTACACCATCATCATGAACCCCAGGCTCTGTGGCTTGCTCTCCCTACTCTTCTTGCTAACTAGCATTGTGGATGCCGTACTTCACAGTTTGATGGTGCTGCATCTGTCCCGCTCAGATCTGGAAATTCCTCATTTCTTCTGTGAACTTGCTCAGATTCTCAAGCTCATCTGTTCTGATACCCTCATCAATTACATCCTAGTGTATTTTGTGGCTATTGTTTGTGGTGGTTTTCCTCTCTCTGGAATAATTTTCTCTTACACTCGGATTTTCTCCTCTGTTTTGAGAATGCCATCAGTGAGTGCAAAGTATAAAGCTTTTTCCACCTGTGTGTCTCACCTCTCAGTTGTTTCCTTATTCTATGGGACAATCTTTGGTGTGTATGTCTGTTCTGCATTTATACATTCTCCCAGGAAGACAGCAATAGCTTCAGTGATGTACAGTGTGGTCCCTCAAATGATGAAACCTTTTATCTACAGCCTGAGGAACAGGGACATGAAGAGTGCCTTGAGAACATTCATCGGTAGGATACCATCGTTTTAGTGATTGTGTCATCAGTTTTGGGCTTGGAACGCTAGGATAGGTCAATGTGGAAGGAATACTGCTGATCAAAGATGTCTGATTGTTTCATCAGAGAGTTCTAAAATGATTAGATAACATAATGGCTATGTACATTTCAACTTATTCATGATAAATGAGAAAGTATTGAAGTTGTCGAGGATTTCATTTTACTTGGATCCACAATCAATGCCCATGGAAGCAGCAGTCAAGAAATCAAATATCGCATTGCATGGGGGCATATCTGCTGCAAAATATTTCTTTAAAGTGTTAAAAGGCAAAGATATCACTTTGAAGACTAAGGTTCACCTGATCCAAGCCACAGTATTTTCATTCACCTCATATGCATGCGAAAGCTGGACAATAAATAAGGAAGACTGAAGAAGAATTGATGCCTTTGAATTACGGTGTTGGTGAAGAATATTAAATACACCAGGGACTGCCAGAAAAATGAACAAGTCTGTTTGGAAGTAGTGAAGCTAGAACGCTCCTTAGAAGGGAGGATGGCAAGACTTCATTTCTCTTACTTTGAACATGTTATGGGGAGGGACAAATCCCTGGAGAAGGACATCATGCTTGGTAAAGTAGAGGGTCTGCAAAAAAGAGGAAGATTTTCAATGAGAGGGATCAACACAGTGGCTACTACAATGGGCTCAAACATAGCAATAATTGTGAGGATGAAGCAGGCAGTGTTTCATTTGTTGTACATAACTGACTTGATGGCACTTAACAACAACAACACATTTCAACTTAGAGTTGAAACTTGGTTTTTCTCTTTACATAGCTCTGTCCTGTTTGGTAAACTCTCTAAGCTCAGTTTCTTCAGTCAGGTTCCATAGAAGGAGAACCTGAATCAGGGGTTCTTGTTAAATGATTTTTGAGGCAGTGGTCTATGAAAGAAGGAAAGCAGGAGAAGGTGGATAGGGCAGGGAAAGTCTGTAAACAGAGTTGTGGTCATAGCTAGACACTAGATTCATCCTGATCCTATGAACAGAGCTATGTGAATGGAAATCCAGGCTTAGTCTCACTGTGAGACAAGAGAACTGATCTTTCATGTCCCAATTTAGTAATTACTGAGATATCACTGGTAAACCATATTTGTTCAGGGCAGCATTAGTATCCACCATACTTATTTTCATCATCTACAGAAATGGCTAATTAGATTATCTCAATTGGCTTGAGATGATTTTGAGATATTTGAGCTTCTGAAGTGTGGAAGCCTTCAGTTCTAATAAGAATATATAAGCTATGACTCTAATATGCTCAAACAATAATTTATTTTTCATTACAAGGAAAGGACTTCAGAGGTGGAGAACGCACAAGAACTGGACAGAAACACTTTATTTCGGCTCCCCATACATGGCTTCATCCTGGAACTTGTTCCCCTTGTGGTCTCCTGATTGCTACAGCAGATGCAGGTGTCATATCCACACATGATGACCAAAGAGAGAAATCTTATTGTCCTTCCCTGGGCCTATTTTTAATAGACCTTTCCATGGAGTCATCCAGAGACATTCTCTCCCATCTCATTACTGACAGTAGGATCACATGCCCCTTCTTAATCTAATTCTTGGTGTGGGGAAAAAATAATAACTATGAGAACCTTAGATTAACCATTTGAAGTATAATTCCAGGTGGGATATTAACCCCTATAACCACAAGGAGCACTTACAAAAAAATGCCTGGCACTATAGTAAATGTTCAATAAAATTTAAGTAGTATCATTGCATTCCATGTCTTGCCTATATTCATAAGTTTTCTAACCATTGACATCCACAGAACACCTGAAGACATGAGTCACCTGTGACACTTGTTTATACTGCAGAGTCCTGGACCTTATCCAAAACTTACTGACTGAATCTCTGAGGAAACGCCTGAGGGATGAGATGTTTAATAAGCACGTTTGGAAATTCTTATGCACTCTGAAGTCTGAGAAACAAGGCATTAATATTAGAAGAACATGGGAGAATATATTTATAATCTGGAATATAAAAGGACTTTCCTCAAGTTACTTGTTAAAATATCTATAAAACCTGCACACCAATGTTCATTGCAGCACTTTTCACAATAGCCAAAATGTGGAAAACAACCGAAATGTCCATCAACAGATGAATGGATAAACAAAACGTGCCATAGCCATAAAATGGAATATGACTCAGCAATGAAGAGAAATGAAGCTTCGATGCATGCCATTTCATAGATGAATCTTGAAAATATCATGTTGAGTGAAATGAATCAGTAGTAAATGGACAAATACTGTATGATCTCACGTATAACCAAATATATAGAAACCAAAGCTTATTAGTTTTTATCAGGGATGGAGGGGAAGGGGAAGCTTTTGGTTAGGGAACATTGAGTTCGTGCTAAAGGTGGTGGACTGAATTGGAAAGGGATACCAAGAATGGTTGTAGAACTTGAAAAATGTAATCAATGTCACTGAACTGTATAAAGAAATTAATGAGATGGTGTATGTTTTATCATGTTTATTTTCACCACAATAAAAAACTATCATATACAAAGCAGTATATAAAATGTATCTGTAGTTCTTACAGAATAGTAATATAGTGAAAACACATGTATCCATTACTAGGTTAAGAAATAAGGCATTACCATCATGTAGATTCCATTTGAACAGTTATCCAATCACATCATCCTTCCTATATTTAGTAATAACTACTGTCCTGAATTCTGTGTTTATCATTTTCTTTGATGTTTTTCTATTAGGTTGGATTCTATGAAATTTCCAGTAGTTGATCATTTTTGCCTTACAATATGGCATTTTCAAAGTATTCATACTGCTGTATGTATCCCTATATGTTTTATTAAATAAATGTCCCTCTTTTAGAACTTGTTAAAACCTTAATCTGAATGAATAAATTTGGGATCTTGATTGTTTTTCCCACCATTGTGATTCTGAAATTCAATGCTATTGTTAGGTGTAGGCTTATTCATTTACTTTCAACGATGTATACTTTTACACTGTGCATTTTGTTGTTGTTAGGTGCTGTCGACTCAGTTCGGACTCATAGCGACCCTATGTACAACAGAAGGAAACACTGCCTAGTTCTGTGACAACCTCAAAATCACGGTTATGCTTGAATCCATTGTTGCAGCCACTGTGTCAATCCATCTCATTGAGGCTCTTCCTCTTTTTTACATGATGTTCTGTCCAGGAACTATCCTTCCTGATGTCATGTCCAAAGTACTTGAGATGAAGTCTCCCCATCCTTGTTTCTAGGGAGCATTCTGACTTCACTTCTTCAAGGACAGATTTGTTCATTCTTCTGGCTATCCATGGAGTATTCAATATTCTCGTCAATACTGTAATTCAAAGGCGTCAATTCTTCTTCAGTGTTCCTTATTCATTGTCCAGCTGTCGCATGCATATGAGGCAATTGAAAACACCATGGCTTGAGTCAGGCACACTTTAGTCCTTAACGTGACATTTTTGCTTTTTAACACTTTAAAGAGGTCCTTTGCAGCAGATTTGCCCAATGTGATGTGTCATTTAATTTCTTCACTGCTGCTTCCATGGGTGTTGATTGTGAATCCAAATAAAACGAAATCGTTGACAACTTCAATCTTTTCTCTCTTTATCATGATGTTGCTTATTGTTACAGTTGTGACGATTTTTATTTTCTTTATGTTGAAGGGTAATCCATACTGAAGGTTGTAGCCTTTGATTTTCATCAGTAAGTGCTTCAAGTACTTTTCACTTTCAACAAGCAAGGTTGTGTCATCTGCATAAGGCAGGTTGTTAATGAGCCTTCCTTCAATCTTGATGCTCTGTTCTACATATAGTCCAGCATCTTGCATTATTTGCCCAACCCAAAGATTGAATAAGTAAGGTGAAAGGATACAACTCCGACTCAAACCACACAGTATCCCCTTGTTCTGTTCGAACGACTGCCTCTTGGTCTAAGTACAAGTTCCTCATGAGCACAAGTAATTGTTTGGGAATTCCCATTGTTTGCAATGTTATCCATAATTTGTTATGATCCACACAGTTGAAAACCAAAATACAGGTAAATATCTTTCTGGTATTCTCTGCTTTCAGCCAGGATCCATCTGACTTCAGCAATGATATCCCTCATCCCACGTCCTCTTTGAATCCTACTTGAATTTCTTGCAGTTCTCTGTCGATGTACTGCTGCAACTGCATTTGAATAAACTTCAGAAAAATTTTATGTTTTTATGATGTTAATGATATTGTTTGATAATATCCACATTCTGCTGAATCATCTTTGTTTGGAAAGGGTACAAATATGGACCTCTTCCAGTCGTTTGGCAAGGTAGCTCTCTTCCAATTTCCTTGGCATAGACCAGTGAGCACCTCTTGTGCTGCATCCCTTTGTTGAAACATTAATTGGTGTTCCATCAATTCCTGGAACCTTGTTTTTTGCCAATGTCCTCAGTGCAGTTTGGACTTCTTCAGCACCATTGGTTCTTGATCTTGTGCTACCTCCTGAAATGGTTGAATGTCGACCAATCCTTTTTGGTATGGTGGCTCTGTGTATTCCTTCCATCTTCTGTTGTTGCTTCCTGCATCGTTTAATATTTTCTCCTACTGTTGTTGTTAGGTGCCGTTAAGTAGATTCTGACTCATAGCGACCCTATGTACAATAGAACAAAACATTGCCTGGTCCTGTGCCATGCTCACAATTTGTTGTTATGCTTAAGCCCCTTGTTGCAGCCTCTATTTCAAAACTATCTCATTGAGGATCTTCCTCTTTTTCTCCAACCCTCTACTTTACCAAGCATGATGTCCTTCTCAGGGGACTGATTCTACCTGATAACATGTCCAAAGTATGTAAGACGCAGTGTAGCCATCCTTATTTATATTTTCCCCATAGAATCCTTCAATATTGCAACTCAAGACTTGAATTTTTCTTGAGTTCTTTCAGTTTGAGAAATGCCAGTCCTATTCTTCCCTTTTGGTTTTCTAACTGCAGGTCTTAACATTTTTCATTGTAATACTTTATTTT